AGGTTGATTTATGCCACTGTTCCTACCGTCAGTAGCTAACTAAATGTATTCTTTGATAGCATTGTCGCTGCCACAAGTCGAAAAAAAGTCTAGTGTGTCCCATACAGATTTAAATGATAAATAATTGTTATAACTAAAGAAATTGTCATGATAAAGAGGCAACATGTTTTCTGTTTCCTCCTCATCTGCTCTGCACAAACCTTAGTTCTGCTTTGTTGTTCAGACCATAATTATGTTATGTTATGTGACTTTATTGATAAAATAAGTATAATAAATTACAATACAGTTGGTGAATGTGTTAATGTAGCATTCATGTCTTCTCTAGGAGGGAGAAAAGGTATTACATTATTTTAGTTTTGTTGAATTGACAGTGTTTTAGAGCAGTGGTTCTCAACTGGTCAGGCCTCGGGACCCACTTTTTACTTGGTCAATACATCGCGACCCAACATTTTGAAGCACTCAAATCTATTCAACAAAAAAACCTGCTGTAATATATACGCTTTTCAGCATACAATATTAATAAAAGTGAAATACGGTGCATATATCCCATATATCCCTTCACAGAACTAAAGTTTGCTTTTAAAAAAGGTTTAATGAGATGATGTAGTCAAAGCTGAACTATATAAAAAGGCACACACGCTGAAAACGCAACCCCAGCAGGGGGGTCTGGGGGGATACTCCCCCAGGAGATTTTTAGAAATACTAACATAAACTATGCATTCTGGTACACTCTGAGAACGCCTGCATGCACAGCGTTAGAAAATCGGGCCTTCAAAATAAAAGTTTGACTTTTTCCCCCCAAAAAAAAAAAAAAGATTCCAATTTTTTTTTCTTCACTCACACATCCGCGACCCACTCGAAACGGGTCTGCGACCCACTTTTGGGTCGCGACCCACCAGTTGAGAACCACTGTTTTAGAGTCTCTCTTCCTACTTTATGTCATAGAAAATGTTTTGTGGATACGTCATCAAGGCTAATTCTCTGCTGCGGTTGTTGGCTGCAGGATGTCACACCGCTGCAGACATTCTGACTTACATCTTCCACACATGTACTCACAGTCACCATCACACTTCAGAACGTCAACTTGACTGACAGCCACCAGGGCCACAAAATCACACTCCCGTGGTGTGGAGCTTTGACAGCCATTACACGTGTGTGTGTGTGTGTGTGTGTGTGTGTGGGGGGGTTAATTTGTGTGTATTACAGGGAATTTCAGGGACACGCTTCACTATCTCAATATCCGTATAATAATTGTTATGTAAACACGTGTCATGCAGCGGGTACTTTTGCTGTCAGTGGATTCCCACTCGAAGGAAACTGACAAAATGGAGTTTGGAGAAGCCATTTGTCACTCTTTCTTTAATGAGGAAATACTTTGCCTCTGCCAGCAGGATGGAGATCATATAACAGCTACATACATTCATATCATCTGACTATAGCCTGACTGACTTGACTACTGTAATAGTGTTTTCACAGGTCTCTCTAAAAAAATCTATAAAACAACTACAACTCAATCTTTGGTGAGGTTGTATTAACATGTCCTCGTACTATCTTGTCTGTTATGATCTTTTATGTAACTTTTTGCCTGTACTAATTCAGAAAGATGATTATAGCAGATGTGTCTCTTATGTTTAGGTGCATGTTAGTATGTATTTTGCTTTAGCCTGGTGATATGTATTTTGGCATTTTGAGGAGAGTTGGTGTGAGACATTTTAGACTCGAGTGTACTTGTGTTGTTTTGTGTATTTCCTGTATATTTGAAAGCAAGATGTTTGTATTACGGTGTTTACCCTTCTGACAAAAAGTCTAAAACAATTTGCGAAGTGCCAGTCACAGCAAGTGTGTGATTTCAGAGAAACACCTCACACACACTCTGTCGCTCAATATCCGCCAGGCAAACAAAACCAAGCAGCATGGTGTGTGTTCCAAGTTTTTTATTGTTAACTAGAAAAAAGTATTTGCCCACTTCCTCCACCCGAGTCTACACAAAATAAATCCACTGTCACCGTACGAGTATTTCACTACAATCACAGTGTGTGCTGTGGGTAAACAGTGTTTAAAAAACAGCAGATGAAACTCAATCAAATAGTAGACATTGGTAAATGTATGTTTAAAAGTACAAAAGAGGCACATTTCAGAGACTATGTAACTTAATCTGGTGTGCAAACAGTGGCTTATTTTCAAATCCAGCAGTTATTTAGCAACATGAGCATTTATTTGGCTCTTATTCTAGCGATATTGACTCTCTTTTTAGCTCTGTATTTGTTCTCCACCAGCTCCTGCAGAGAAGACATTGCTCTCTAGCTGCTCAATGTTCCACCATAATCACAGCTAGTTGCTAACTCTGCTGTTTAAAGCTTGGCAGGTGATGAACAGTGTTTTTTATTCAAACTTTTGTGCTCAAAAGCTGCCTGTTGCGTCTGGAAAAAACGCTACGAAGGCGGAGAGAGTGAACAAAACACAAATTGAAGTGGAGAGCTAAAAGATGCTAACAATGTAGAGTTAGTACTGTGTCATACAAGAAGTCAACTGATCCACTGTTTATCCTAAAAACATTGATTAAAGGCACCTTAAAGTGTTTTTTCTGCAGTGTTTCCAACCAAAACCACACTCTTGTCCTCCTTCATGAGTATTTCCTCCCACACAGCAATGATGAACATTTTGGAGACTGAATCCATCAGTATTTTTTTCTCAAAACTTGTTAAACATTAAACAATCTGCAGTGTGTTGAATCAACACCAACAACCGGTAGATCTATTCAGCTGAATAGGTGTAAACTAAGAACTCAAAATTCTAATTAGTTTTATTTTAATTGAATACTCTATTGTGATTCTCTTGTTGTTTATCTTAGCAGTGTAACACATATGTTTCACCATTTCCATCAAAGTGAATATCCTACATAGCCTGATGTAAAAAAGCTTTCCAATACTACCATACTATTAAGTATGCGAGAAAATATGAATTATTTCACAAAAAATAGCATGTGAAATGCGGTATGCCAGTAATACCAGGAAGTCCTTGTGCAGTCAGATGCATTTTGATTCAGAGGATGTTATTTCATACTTCTGATATGGCACCATGAGAGGGACTCACCAGGTGGTAACACAAACTTACTGCTCATAATAATTGAGGGAGACGGTGCTGAACAGATAGGAACACTGCCAGTGTGAGATTAACTGTAATCAATAGGGATTTTGGCTCTCTGTCAGGAGTGTTAGTGAAACAATCGAAGAATCTGAGGTGACGTTATTCAATGAGAGAAAATCCCCGATTTAGGTAGTCTGATAATAAAAGATACCGTGGATTTCAAGTCATAGAAACAGTTTGTGTGATTACAGTTTGTGCTTGAACCTGAAGCTGTTGAAAATGTGAGTGGCAGTGCAGTGTACCCAAGCATGGCCCCCATCTCCACTTGGAAAAGTTATTACTCCGTTAGTGGCCGCACAACACCTCACTGCATCACTGCTCCTGCTTCAATTATGGAGTCACTGCATGTTCCAAACACTCGAAATTGGGGAAGAAAGCTGCTAGCTGTGAGACAAGTGGTTTATTCCTTAGCTCCCTGATCAGAAGTCACATCATTATTGTTATTTCTCCCAATTTCCATTCAATTACATTGTGTTGGTGAAGGTGAGAGAAGTCTCCTCCATCGTTATTCTTCAATATACCCTGTGGGAAGGGGGTTAGAAAAATGGACGACAGTGTAGTTGTTGTTGTTATAGAAAAGTAGAAAAAGAAGTCTGGCGTTCATCGGTAAAGGTAAAATAGTGCACACAGTCAAGAACCAGCAGATTTCTTCTTCCAGTTCATCCAGAGCTGTGTAAGAGTTCAGATGACCCCGTAGTCCCGGAGAGATTTGAGCAGCACCGTGTCCTTGATGTCGCTGAACACTCTGCGGATGTTGTTGGTGTCGGTGGCGCAGGTGAAGTGAGGGTACAGCGTCTTCCACTGGTCCCTGTTGTCCCGGTTGATGGCCTGCTGCTCGTACAACTTGCGGATGTAGTTCTTAGCATCATCCGGGTCGTGCCTCTTGCCTGTAAACAGACGTAAGAAAGATATTAGAGATGGACATAGTTGTGTTGTCAAGAAAAAATACACAAAGATGCTAGAATCTTACTTCACCTGCTTTTTACTCGTGCACCATTTTGTGACTTTTAATTATTTTTGTTCTTTTTATGTTGAGTATCTTGTGTGTTGCACTGGATTTAAGATTACCAAAAACGTCTCCGTAATTCTCTGTTGTGTCTGTTTTTTTGTCGTTTGTGTGGACTCAGAGCCCAGTCTGCTCTGATTGGTTAGCTGACCGGCTCTGTTGTGATTCGTCCGGTCTCTTAGCCTATCACGTGCAATGTATTGGAGCGCTCGCCAATAAGAACGGGTGTGTTACATAATGATGTTATTATCTTACGGAAGTAAACAAAGGCGTCCAATGGAGGCTTTTTAGGCAGGGGGGAGGAGAGATTGTGTGAGAGAAACTTCCTCCGGTATTTTAGCCTTTGGACCATTTACATGCACAAAAACCAATATAACACACTACAGGAAAGAGATAACCACTAAAAGCATAACATGGCCTCTTTAAATGAAAGGAAGCTGCAGCTATAAGCACGGAACATTGACAAATCATTTAAGTGCTGGTCCAGTTGCTGCCCTCGCTGTGTTAAAATGGCAAAGGACTGTGTGGCTTCTTAACAACAGTAGCCTTCACTTTACAGCAGCGATAAAAAGGGCCAAACGGAAACGCAACATTAGCAACAACCAGAGGAAGAGCTGCACAGAGTTGTTGTTGAGGTTAAACTGAGGGAGCTTCACCCTGTAGGAGTCATTATTTTGTATTTTATCCTCATGGTAAAAGTCAGTTAGATTACACACACACACATCATTAATCATTCACGGTCACACATTTCCGCTTGCACTCGTAAACCTCTCACAAATGTACACCTGGAGGGTAGCGGGGGGTGCAGGACTTGCGTGAAGCACAATATCAGTCTGTGGTTGTTGCCATGGGTAACAGAGCAAGAGGGGGGGTGTCATGGAGGGGAGGTTAGGGCAACGCTGTTCAGCTTTTCACACCAACAGAGCTACAGGCTGCAGCCACATCATTAAGCACACTAAGTACCTGGAAGTGACGTGTGTGTGTGTGTGTGTGTGTGTGTGTGTGTGTGTGTGTGTGTGTGTGTGTGTGTGTGTGTGTGTGTGTGTTAGTGCTGGGGGGAAACAATTATTTTCCATCCATCCATCCATCTTCTCCCGCTTATCCGTGGTCGGGTCGCGGAGGTAGCAGTTCCAGGAACTGCTACCTCCGCGACCCGACCACGGATAAGCGGGAGAAGATGGATGGATGGATGGAAAATAATCGTTAGTCGACTAATCGATGAAATAATCGCCCGATTAATCGTTTTCAAAATAATTGTTTCCCCCCAGCACTAACACACACACACACACACACACACACACACACACACACACACACACACACACACACACACACACACAC